GTCTGGTGGTCTGGTGTCCTCTGCGTCTTTGTAGTGTGGAATCAGGTGGCTGCCTGTCTGCAGCGGGGTGATTCCGTGTCTTCCGCGTGACTCAGGACCTCGTTAGGGCGTGCTCAGGCCTCATTCATTTTTTAGCACTTTGCAGGCTGCCTCTGCCCTCCACTATCCTGCCTACTGACACCCTTCTTACCAAGATCTCCTGTGACCTCATTACCAAGTCCAGTGGAGTTTTCTCAGCTTTCATTTTGTGTGACCACTCTATGACATTTGATACTAATGACCTAATTTTAAGCTTAAAAAATTGTTCTCTATATTACAGGAAAGGGAAGCATGGTTCCACTGTTTAGGGCATATGAAGTGGGATCAAAAGAGCATGTGACCTTGAGTGTCTGATACCTTTTAAATGTCCAGGGCCTGCCTTCCAGGAATTGGGGTGAGTTGGGTGAGCCCTGATGTATATGGTCTCCTGAGGAACTGGGGAAGGAGATAAGGGTAGATGGTGCAGGCAAGGAGACTCAGTGAGAAGCTTTCTAGGTTCTCAGATCTTGGAAGAGTTCCCCAAGAGATAAAAGTCTTGTTCTCTGTAATTTCTCAAGACATATACCTCAGACTCTATAGAGTTATAGGGAGACAGGTTTTCATTTAGTGTTTAAAAAAGGATATTCTAAAATTGAGTAAAAATGTAGAATGGGCTGCTGCTTATGTGTGGTGATGGTTTGGTAGAGATGGTTTCATTTTAGCTCAGTAAAATGTACAAGACATTGGCATGGACCCCCTGCCCACCTCACCTCTCATGGCTTTAAATTTACTTAAATTACATTAATGGTTCAGCATTCTATATCCCTAGTTAAGCTCTCTTTTTGAAATCAGATATCTAGGTGCTTTCTAGGCATCAAATTCTACGGCCAGATGTCTCCTAGGCATCTCAGACTCAGTAGACATTGAGTGCTTCCCAAGATCAGGTACTTAGCTAAAACTACACTCCCAAACTCCTGTGCCATTCCAGGGTTTACTAAGGGTGGAGCAGTGGGAAGAGTCTACTCCAGTTTGGACAGTAATGGGTACGCTGTATGCAGAAAATTTAAAACCAGTGACAAAATTGACCAAGTACAGCCTCTCTGGGGTCAAGCATATTCTCTTTGGCACTACCTCCTTTGTGTCTATCTCAGTAAGTAGAATGAAGCTAGCTGTCTTAATCTATTTTGTGCTACTGTAATAGAATACCTGAGAGTGGATAATTTATTTATTATTTGGTTTTTTGAGACAGGCTCTCTCTGTGTCTAGGCTGGCCTTGAACTCAAGATTTATAGTAATCCTCCTTCCTCAGCCTCCTAAGTGCTGGGATCACAGGTATCTTCTACCATGTCTGGTGAGACTGGGAAATTTATAAAGACCAGAGATTTATTTCTCACACTTATAGATGCTGGGAAGTCCAAGGTGAAGAGGCCTGTATTTAGCAACAGCCTTCTTGCTATGTCATCCCGTTGTGGAAGGCAGGAAGGACAGGAGTTCAGGGGGAGGAGAGAGAGAGAGGAAGGGAGGTACCAAAGGGCTCGGACTATTCTCTTATCAGGAATCCACTCCCTCTATAACTCTTGTGAGACATTAACCCTAACTACCTCTTAAAGGTCCCACCTCTCAACACTGTTGCATTAGGGATTAAGTTTTCAACACATGGGCTTTAGGGGACACATTCAAACCATAGCACTAGCCAAGGCATAAACCTTTGACATGGGCTGTGCAGCTTTTCTGTATTGGGCTCTGTGTGACTCAGCTTTCTGTTACCGTGACAAAGTTCCTGAGGTAATTCAGGAAGAAGGGTTTATTTTGATTCATAGTTTCAGAGGTTTTAGTCCATGATAACTTGGCCCTGTCGTTTTGGGCCTGTGTTATGGCAGGAGTGGCCTGTTTACCTCATGGAGGCTGGTGAGAGAGAGAGAAAGGGGCAAGGGTCCCAGTGTCCCCTTCTCTGGCATACCTCCAGTGGCTCGACTTCTTCCAAGTAGGCCCCACCTCCTGAAGGTTCCACCACCTCCCACTAGTGCCACAGGCTGGAGACCAAGCCTTTAACACACAGGTCTTTGGTTGAGAGTCAAAATTCAAATTATAGCAGGCCTCACCTCCCATTAGGTCACCAGGTCCTCTTTAACAGCTCTTACATGTTTCTTATCACTGTCTCTACTGCTACTATCTCTCGTCTCCTGGCTACCACTTTGCTTTTTCACTGTGTTGTTTTTGCTGCCTGCAGAACAGTCTTGGTAAATCACAACTGCTCAGAGGCTTGGCATTGCCCTGGCCACTTCTCTTAGGAAGAAAACACCCTGATCTTTCCTCTTCCACCTTTCCACATCTCCAGCTTAGTGCTGCTTTTTTCTTTCACCTTCTGTTCTTCTGAACACACTGAGTTCTTTACGTGATTAAATCTTATTTTTTGAACCCTAAGTTCCTGACCTTGTTGGACAGACATTTTTGGTTGAATTGATTTGTGTGGGCAAAACAACATATCAGCTAGAGGGGGAGGGAGCTGGTAAATTGTAATTTAAAGGAAGAAACAATAACAAACCTTTGATTTAAATTCTAACCTCTTCCTATCTCTCTGCATAGTCCTTTTTTATTTTTTTAAATTCTGAGATAAGCCCACAGCTGGAAGCTTAAAGGTGAACTGAGACCCTGCCCATCCATCTCTTTATTATGTATTCTTTCTCACCTCCTGTCTTGCATTTCTGCTTCTGTGCTGTTGATAAAAGGACAGCAGATTGGGGTGCTGGAAAGAACCTGGGCTTTGGAGTCAGACAGAATTGAGTTCAGTTTTTGGCACTCCCCGTTTTTTAGCTATGGGACCTCAGATGAGGTCTCTGAGTCTCATTTTCTTGTCTGTGAGATGTACACAATAGTGTACATTGTGAGTGTACATACAGCGTTGTTTTGAAGATTAAATATGAAAAACATAAGTAAGGTACTTAGCTTACTGTAGACCATTAGAAAATAATGGCTGCTGGTATTATTTTCAGCAGCATCTCTAAGCACTCAGGTTTGGATCTGAGGGCTTGTTCTGGCGCCTGGTGTCTCTGGTGCAGGAGGTGGGATCCCTTTCTTGAATGTGGTGGGATCAGTGGTTAATGGGTTGGGGTCTTTGAGGTCCCTTTGTCCTGGAGTCTTTATTGGATGCTCTAGTTTAAGACTCTATACATGTGGGGACATGTGTGTGCCTAACTTGTTCTTTCTTCCTTTTCTTGTAGGCTCCCAGGCCAGTGCCAGTACTTGGGCTTGCCAGTGGCAGATTACTTCAAGCAGTGGATTAATCTGAAAAAGGTACTGTCTGAGGCCCACCCAGGGCCTTTCTCTGCTTCTCCTATGCCTCAGAGATCCCCTCCCATCTTGGTTGTCTTTCTTTTTTATTTTTTTCCTCTTTTTTCAACATCTCTTCTTCCTCTTCCCTAGCCAATATACACTAAAATGTTATAGTTATTTTTGGGAATGGGGAGCTTCCTGGGGATCAGGCTGCTGAGTGGAATGTGACACTGCCCTCATTGATGTCCCCCAGACCTACACAGAAGTCCTAGTTAAGGGGATTTTCCATGGCTGTCAATCAGATATGAATCTCTGAGCTGTAATATTTTGTTGCTAGGAGAAATGTGTTACTGGCTGAACCTCTGAAAGTATTCTTTTTTAAGTCCTCCTATGTTTGGCCTCTGAGCCTTCTGACTGGCCCTGGTATCTCCTTCTAGATGGGATGAGGAGCTCATTCAGGCTTATTTTGGCTCCACCTAGCCCCAGCAGACCTTGTTTCTGTCAGGAAGGGCCACAGAAACTAGAGCCCAGTTCCCTTGGCACCAGAAGGAGACTGGCTCTAATGCAGTAGCACTAAGGACTTGGAGAATTGGCACTGAGGCCAATTCCCCTGTGATGGGAAGGACCCTCTATAGCTAGAATAGTGGCCTTAGTACAGAATGAACCATTCAGAAAACTAGTGTTTTGCTGTACTTCCTAGGTAAATAGAAGAAAGGGTATGTAGGAACAGATTCCTTGAATCCCTGCTTTGGAGAGATCCTTACTCCTGGAGGCCCAGTCCACTAGGAGACTGACCTCCATAAATAATTCTGATAAAACAACAATAGCCCTGGAGCAGCCTCAGGAGCAGCCTCAGGAGCCTCACATCACCAGTCAGCTTAGGGACTCCTGGGAAGCTTGGAGAAGAGAGAACACATTGTGGTTTAGGATGGTGGTTCCCAGAAGGCTCAGAATAAAAGAGGCCATTGGAGGGTCAGCCTAGATATTGTGAGGATTTGGGTCATAAACTGTCTAATCAAAGAAGGTGGCATATAGATACAAGGAGAGAATGCTTTCTAGGCAGGGAGAGCAGTGTGCTTTTGGTATGTGTAGCTGAAGCTAAGTGATCATGCGGAAGAACAGTGGAAGAGAAGGTGTTGTAAGTTTGTTCCACACTGAGAATGGCTGTGGACTTGGTCCCATGCTTTGTGGGAGCATTTATGAGCTCCTTTGCTTTCTCCCAGTGTTCAGGTCCTTTGCACTCTGCCTTCTTTGTATACTTTGGCCCCCACTCGCCTCTCCTACTGATCTCCTGTGCAGCTGAGATACTGCCACTTACTACTTCTTATTTTTGGCTGAGCAGGCTAGGGTTTGTCATGCCTTTGGGGCCTGGCCTGTAGCCTTCCCTCTTCCTGAAATGTCCCCCAGTCGTCTTCATCAGGCATATTCCCTCTCCTTGAAGATTAATTCAGGTATCACTGCTGCTGAGCTTCTCTTGCCTGGAGGTTCTTTGGCATATGGGATATCAGTTAAAGCAGTTGGAACTTAAGTCCATGTGTGTTTCCTTCTGGACCTGTCCGTGTGGAGCAGAGACTATTCCTCTCTGTGTCCCATTAGACCAGTGAATATTGGTGCAGTGAATACTGCAGTGTGCAGTGAATACTGTAATTGCTGGCTTTCTGCTTCATCTTTGAGGACCAGCTCCACAGAGGCTCTCCCAGGTGGGCCTGGGTCGGGATAAGTGTGCCTGTATGGCTGGGCATTTACTCCTGGAAGACAGTATGCTAGCTGTCAGAGCTCATCTGAGGCTGCTTGTTGGCCTCAGCAAATGCAATGTGAAGGCCCGGCCAGGCGAGGCAGGCGCTGACCATGAACAATTACTCTGTGAAGTTCACTAGACTTTCTGGTGTATGGCTAGCTCTCTGCCTCTAAGTTCCTTGGCAGAAAAGCAGGAGAACAGCTGACCAATGTGGTAACATTGCTGCTCATGGCCACCTTAGTGCCATTGGGTCTGTAAAGGTGGAGGGAGGCTATCCCAAGCCTCTTTAACTTGGTTCTGTGCCAGAGTGCCGAGTTATAGAGGGAGAGAATGGATACAAGGGGAAACAGAGGACTCTATTCCCAGTTGGCCTTTGTGATTTCTTCCCATGAGATGAGCCAAGCAGATCTGGGGAAAACAAGGGGTGTAATTCCTTCTTCTCTGCCCTCCAGCCACCTCATGTTCTAGGTGTTCTAGCTCAGTGAGCAACTGTGACTGAACTCAGCATCGAATTTTCTAAGGCCTCTAAACTGAGAAGAGGCAACATTTTGACCTTGAGCTGCCCTCTCTTCTCCAAAAGTGGTATGGGCTGCATTGGGAAAGAGCAGCTTTTCAACAGCCAGGTTTCCATATCTCCTACCTCTACCTACTTCCCCTCTAGCAGAGTGCAGCAAGCCAATGTTTGCTGACATTTGGAATGCCATTGAATGATCTTAGACTTTTATTGAGCTGTCAGCTTAAAGAAGACTTGGGGCCCTGCTTCTAGCTCCCTCCAGGAGGTCAGAGCTGTCACTGAAGAACACACATGCATGCTCACTGTACACGTGCATGCACACACAGGCACATGTCCATACACAGGGGTACTCCTGAGTGAATACCCCCAAGTAAGTATACTTCAGATTTTATGTATATGTCATTACATATAGCTTTGTGTAGTCACATAAACGTAGCCACCTGCATAAATATTTGGAAAGATGAATGACAGACGTGAATGTACTTATATGTACATATTCATAAGGTGTAAAGACATGCACATATAAATATATATTTATAAATATATATATCTTCATCAATAAACATATTCTGGAATGCCTTCTGGGTGCCAGGTACTGTGCTAGGTCCTGGGGATATATCAGAAAAGATAGATATTGAACAAATAATTTTGATTGCATTGAGTAACACTGAATAGTTCAGTCATGGATTGTATAATAATTTAGTGGGGTGGAGTCAGAGAATAGTTTCCTGAGGAAGGATGTACAAGCTGAAATCTGAAGGAGGTGTTGGCTAAGCACAGGAAATAGTATGTGGGAGGCCTTGAGGTGAAGAGAAGCCTGGCAGCTTCATAGAAGCCAGAGATAGAATTTTGTCTTTTGTTCATTGTTCTATCCTGATCACTTTGAATGGATCCCAGAACACAGATATTTAATTAGTATTTGTTAAGTGAATGACTGCCTAAAGGACAGTGAGTATGGAAGAGAAGAGTGGCATGAGATGAAGTCAGAGGGAAAGGCAGGAACTTGTAGACCACACTTTGATTTTGACCTTTATCTTTAGGGCCAAGGGAAGCTATTAAAGGGCATTAGACATAGGAGAGGCACCATCTGATTTGCATTTTCAAAAAGCTCTTTCTGCAGTATAGAGAGAGTTTAGAGCAGACTTGGGAGACTAGTTACTGGTTTTTCTTAATGGGGGTGCATTTAACATTTTTGGGTAGGACAGATCATTAGATGGGTGACACTGCTGAATCTGTAGCATCCCCAGCCCATTCATTGCCCCTCTGTGAATCATTTTATACCAAAAATGATTCCTCTCCCCTCTGCACATACATTTCTAATGGATTAGCTGGAGGAGGGTGGTGGAAGTACTGTCCCTCGTTGAGAATTAGACCAATGCTATAGTCCAGGTGGAAGATGATAATTACTTGGATTAAGCTGATAGCAGTGTGGAAGGTAGAGAAATGGACTGATTCTAGAATGTTGAATGGTATGGTCAGTTTTGCTATAATGCAACTTATAGGTTTCTTAAAATTGCGTGCTGTGGAAAGTCTTACAATAAAAATGTAGTTAGGAGTATAACATTCAAAAACTTTATCAGCGACATGTTTAAAAATAAAAAGGATAAGAATGTAATAGTTTTACATGTTAAGTGGTTAAGAAAAACATAAATAAATGCCCCAGCACTTTACCTTGAAAAAGATCACAAGTTCGTTCATAAAAATGGTCATAAGAACGATCATAGCTTATTAGTTATTGAAGTGATGGAAGAAAATTGTGTGAAATCAGAAGGAAAGTTGTAACCAGATGGGTGTGGCCTGTATCACATGTGGTGATCTCCATGACTGGTAGGAGTGCATATGCACGTTTTGTATGTTTTGGCACAGCTCTGCCAGCTGGGTATAGTTTCCTGTGTTTCTCTAGTATATCTGGTGGACAAAATGATACATAAGCAAATTCAAAAGTTACATTCCCTTGGATTATTCTCTAATACATCAGTTACATTGGAATAAATCTGCTCATTCAAAATGAATGTTTAGCAACAGACTGTATGATAAACAGGAAGTGGTGATTGTTTGGCTGTGAGGGTCGGGTTTGAAGAACGAGACCATGATGATTACAGAGTTTATGATTTGAGCAACTAAGTTAATTGGGAAGAATTTACTGAAATAGTGGAAGAAGGAGAAGCTGTAGGATTAGAAGAGAAGATGAATGTCTTGTGGGGCATGTTAAGTTAGATGCCTCTGAGACATCCTTGTGAAGGTATTGAGGAAGTAGTTGAGTAGATAGGTCTGGGCCTCAGGGATGAAGTGTAGATAAGAAGCATCGATTTGGGGGAATTATTGGTGTGTGAGTGATAGTGAATGCATGGAAGTGAATGACATTGCTAAAGGAGAGCTTGTAGGGTGCGAAGAAAAGAAAACCTAGAATGGAACACTGAGCAACATTTGATAGAGGAAGAAAAGTCAGAAATGGAGAAGAAAGAGTGGTCACCAATGGTAATAATAATAATAATAGTTTTTTATTTATTGATTATATACTGTGTGCTGGGCCTGTCATCTTGGTTTGTTTTTTGCTGTTGTAACAAGATACCAAAGACTGCATAAACTATAAGCAATAGAAGTTTATTTGGCTCATAGGGCATCCTACTTCTGGGGACCACATATGATGACCTTGCTAAATCAATGTGGTAGAAGGCTTCTCGTGGCAAGGTAGCACGTGCGACAGAGAGGGAAAGAGGGTGAAACTCCATCCTTTCATAGCTAGCCCATTCTTGTAAGAATAGCATTAATCCATTCATCAGTGCCCCATCCCCTAATTACCTCTTTAATGCCCCACCTCTCTGTACTGTTAGAATGGCAATTAAATTTCAACATGAAGTTTGGAGGGGACAAATATTCAATCATAGCACCTGTATTGTCCTCTATACTTTCGTCTAGTACCCTTGGCAATAGATTACTTGAAGTGTAGCTAGTATGATGGAGGGACACATTTTAAATTTTCTTTAAATTTAAATTTAAAACCAAAACTTTTATATTTTAAACTATTAATTGCATAAAATCTAAGTTCAGATTATTTCTTTTTTTTTTTTGAGACCAAGTCTCTTTAAGCTTCTAAATTGCCCAGGCTGGGCTTTTATTTCTTTTTTTTTTTTTTCAGATTATTTCTGATGAAGATTTAGTCTCCCACTTGAGGTGTGCTATAAAGTCATATCAGGTTTTAAAGACTTCGTATGAAAAAATGCAAAATATGTCATAATTTTTGTATTGATTACATATTGATTACATGTTGGCTGTTAGAAAATTTCAAATTTCATGTCCAACTCACATTATATTGGTATTGGACAGCACTGTGCTAGACACTGTGCATACATTATCTAAACTCTGCAGTAGGTGCTATTATTTTTCTTGTTTTAAGGTTGAGAAACTGAGGCATTGGCCGGGTGTGGTGACCCACACCTGTAATCCTAGCTGGTCAGGAGGCTGAGGCAAGAGGATCTCAAGTTTGGGGCTAGGGTGGTCAACATAGTAGGACCTTGTCTCAAAAACAACAACAACAAAAACAGCAACAATGGAAAACCAAGGCTCAATGTTTTCACACTAGTATATGGCAGACCCGGAACTGAAATTTAGTTTTTCCTGACTCTTCATGGTAAAGAAATAGAAAAAGAATACAGAATGATAAAAGAGAGACACTGGGAGTGTGGAGTCCTAGAACCTGGGTAACGAAAGTGTTTTCAGAACAAGAGGAGTGGTCAGTTCGAAGGCTGCCACACGATAATGTAAAGGGTAAGGCACTAAACTTAGTAACAAGGACCTCAGTGACCTTAGTGAAAGCTTTTGGGTGCGCAAGGAGAAGCCAAATAGGAATGAATTGAGGAGTGAATGAGAAAATAAAATAGAGAAATGTTAGCTTTTTCATAAAAGTGACTTTGAAGGAGAGAGAAAAGGCAAGAGCTGTGTGGGTTCGAGGGAGATTTTGCTTTCTGAGATAGAAGACATATGTGCTTGTTCATAGGACCTGTTAGAGAAAGAAAGATTGAAGGTTCACTAGAAAGAGGGAATCAGTAAAGGAGATTATTGGAAAGGTGAGGAAATGGGAGGGAGAAGCCAGATTCTTGAAATTGGCTGTCTTCAGGAGGAGGAGCCCTTGATCCATTGAGACAGGGCAGAAGATGGGTGCAGAGATCGGCTAGGCGGGCTTTTAGATTTGGTATTTGCAAGTTGAGGCAGTACCTACGTAATTGCTTTTATTCTTCTCTATGAAGTAGAAGGTGAGTCATTTGCTGATTGCTAATGAGGGAGGACTGGGAAGGTTTTTAGGTGATGTAAGAGTTTTAGTAAATAGGTGTGTGAGCTGACTTGAGAAGTATAGTATAGGCAATGTTGAGTATAGGCCCAGTTAGGATGATGACATTAATTCATAGTGGAGCCATTCTGTTCAGTTGTGTGACTTTTCTTTCTCAGAGTTCAACTGCCTGGCTGGGAGTATGGAGAAAGTAGATATTATATTGATCCAAGGTGGAGGTTTTCTTCAAGGAGTTGTGAAGAGGGGAACAGGGAATTGAAGGTATTGTCAAGATAGCATTTGACAAGAGGAACTATGGGATCCAAGCTGGATGTTGAGGAAAGAGAAGATAGCAGGGGCCTGATAGATACTGAAAGAGGAAAAAGGTCCAGTAAGACAAGGAGTCACTATATTGGGTATAGTTCAGTCTGCCAGATAGAGGGATTAGGGTTACAGTTAAGGAATAGGATGTCTGAACTAGTGATTTCAGAGATGGTGCTGTTCTAGGTATTGGCAGATTTCAAGGTGCAGCCAGGGAAGTGGGTGGCTAAGGTTGTGTGGGAACGAATGTTATAAATGAGGAATCGAGAAACTGAAAGGTTGGATGAGGCCTGCCTATGAATGTATGTGGATATACACATGCATACATAAAATATGTTTTACCCACTATGTATGCACAGATATATGCATCATTAGATATACAAACCCATGACTGCTGATATGCACGTATAAGTAATGCATATTCAGTCCAAGCCATACAAGTCTACGTATACACACTCACAAACCGTCCAGAATTCTCTGAAGCCTCAGCCTGATTGGGTGGGCTTTGGAGGAAACAAGCAGGCAGCTTCAGGAGGATTCTGAGTCAATCCTAGCAGACAGGGTTTAGCCAGTCTTACCCAGCAGTTGTAGGGATAGTGGCTGCCTAGAATTGAACAGACCCATATGTACCAGGGTATGAAGATTGCCGCTCCACTTTTCCTTTGTCATTTGTACTCCATGCCTTGCTCTGAAAGGGATAGGATTGGGACCGGTTGTTACAGAGTGTAAGGAGAAGACCTTTTTGGGTCTCTCCACAAAATATTCTATCTTCCTTCTCTCCCGTGGGAGGCAACAGCAGGAGAAACTGCTGAAGGGAGCGTTGGTGTCTGCAGTTGAGTACGACTTTTCCTGACCTTGGAGCATTCAGAGTCCAAATCAGCACAGTAATAAATTAAGGGCTTATGGAGGAATAAATTCTTGGCCTTAATGAAGTTCTTTGCTGGGGGCCGTATATAGGCCAGCAGGTCAGGATGATGCAGATTGGAGACTTCAGCAAGTGGGCTGAGCTAACTGGGAAACCATTAGGCACAAGAGGACCCAAACTTGCTAGTCAGGTCATCTTTTGGGAAGTAGGGGGACAAAGCTGCTTAAGTGATAGGCAGCTAGATGGAAGCTAGGACCCTTCTAGACTGGGGACTGTACTGTGCTGGCCACATTGCCCCTCTACTAGAGCTATTCAGAAGCTAATTTGGAAAAACAAGAACAAAACAAAAATGAAAACCCAAAAGAGGCAGGAATATCTAAAATCTTTGCACAGTATTTTGTTTTGTTTTGGAATTGGAGGGCTTGCACTGAGGGCTTCTCAGTGGTCAGAACCAGACAGCACCTGGAGGCCAGGTCTTTGGCATCATCCAAAGTGCAAAGCATTGTTGATGGGGCAGTGGAGAGTTGTGGGCTGGAGTCCTGGTGGGACCTAGATCTGTGGGCCAGGTAGATCAGGACCGCTGACTGTCTTTGGGAAAAAACTCTCACATAGAGTGCAGTACCGTAAATGAGGGAGAGGTGGGGGCACAGGCATGGGATAAGGAGAAGGTGAGTGTGAGAACAGCCTATGGTACTTGCTGCTGTGTTTAATGCTGAAGTCCTTGGAGGGGCCAGTCTTGGGAGATGGAGCTGAATTGTAAGCTGAAACTAGAACCCGGGCCTCAAGACCTCAGACCCCCCTTTCATCCCACCCTGTGTAACATCTACCCTTCGGAGTCAGCTCTTGAGGTAGTCCAGAGATAGAAGAGAGATGTGCTGGATTTGGAGGTGGGGGCTGCTGGCGCTGCAGGGAATGTCTTCTTTCTTCTCGTCTCCCTGCCCCCATGGTGTAGTGCCTAGCCTGGGCTTTTCCTTTAAATATGTCTTACAGCTGTCTGAACTCTGAAATTTCTTTCACTCCTTCCCTCGCCTTGTTAACATGTGTTGCCTTTGGGGTAATCAGGGAAAAAATATTATGTCCTTTTACAATTACCGGGTTTTGGAATATTAAAATGTCTCGCTGCATCGGCAGTGTTATTTTGATTGGTATTCTAACCTTTGACTAGCCCATAAAGCGCGCCGCTCCTGAAGCCAATATTGCAGGACTGAAATTTAATTCCAAAATGATTCCAGATAATAGGGAGACAGATAATATATGCATGAAGGATATTATGTTTGGACTAACTGCAGCAGGGCCAGGGATGGGAAGCTGAATAATAGCCCAGAGTGAGTTATAATCTGTGGGACAGAAATGCCTTACTGTCAGGGCCAGGAGAGGAACTCTTAAATCAAAGGCATGGGAAAGGGTGTGATTGGAGGGTGCTCATTTCGACAGGAAGAGCACTGGAGCCAAGAGGGTAGGTACTGAAAGCTGTGCCCTGTCTTCTCTTGAGCAAGATAATCTAGCTCACGGCTGCATCCCTATCTCTACATCTCCCATCCCTCCATAACATTCTAGCCACATCAAACTTCTTGTTGTTTTCCAGATGTACTTGATTGTTTCACCTCCTTTTGCTTATGTTGTCCTCTTTGTTTACATTGCCTTCCCCCTTTTAGTGTTTTTGGAAAACTCCTGTTCATCCTTCAAAACCCTTTTGTGTGAAGCTGCCTGTGACATTCTCCCACCTATACAGAGTCAATCACCTCTACCTGTCTGTGACTTCAGAACTTTGTACTGAGCATATCACATGCTTATCCATTAGTGTTTCCACTAGACTGTGAGCTGCTTGAGGTCTGTATATCACCCATCTCTGTATTTCCAGTGCCCAGCATTGGACCTGGCATACACTAGGCATTGACAAACATTAACTGAATCCACACTGAATCTAGGCCTAGACTAGCAAGGTCCAGAGTCTGTTCCTCTGCTGGATTTCCCAGACAAGTGAATTTAAAGAGTTGCCTTGCCTATGGTCACACAGCCAGGAAGAGACTAATCCTAGCTCTTTTCCCCAGACTGTGTGTCTTAGTTGGGCAGAGGAGGAGTTGGAGGTGAGGGAAGGTAAGACAGAAACCCGCCTCCCTGACTCCTTCCTTCCACAGCCCAGATTTGAGTCCTCTTTGCTGAAGACTGCACTGACCCTTGGCATTCATGGGAGTTGAGTCCTAGAAGGAACTGTGCCTCCTGTAGCTGCTGTTGACCTTTGGACAGTTATTCCACACAAAATACACTTCTCTGTGTTGCCAAGGATTAGGAAAGTGCCTTGGGAAATGTGCCAGAGTGTGCTTTTGGGGAGCTTGTGGGAAGGCATGCATGCATGCAGACCATGCAGAACTCTTAGTAGTGTCAGAAAACTTCACAGATATCCTTTTCCTCCTTCAGGAGTTAGCAGAACTTGTGTTTAGGGTATATGGTAACAGAGAGATATAATGGAAACACAATTGAAGTGGCTTTGGCTGGGTTTTAAGTGATTTTGTGTTTTAGTAATTACAGTACCATCTTCATAAACCTGAAGTGTAGTGTGGCTGTGTGTGAGACTTAGCCTTCATGTTCAGGCAGTGCATATTGTATACTGGACCTTGAAGACATAGAGATGTTGCTTACAGGGCAGAGACCATTAGTACAAGCAAGAAAAAGAGTTCTGGAGCCAGATGAGTCAGGCTCAGATTCCAGTGTGTGAGCTGGAGAAAACCCCTTTTGGGACCTATAGAAAATGACTAATCTCTGACTCTAGGCTCTGGAATCCAGCAGATTCAGAATCTCAGTGCTATATTTACTAATGATGAAGTTTCAGGAGAGTTGCTTAACTTCTTTGAGCCTTGGAATCCTCCTCTGTAAAACAAGAAAAATAATGCCCAACTGCTAGAGTTGCCCTGTGCCCCTGTCCTTCCCTTATCCTGGTACTGTTACAGAGATGAGATGACTGTGTAACCAGGAAGAAGAGGGGTTAAAAATCCAGGGGCTCAAGGTAAGCACATAGGACTCTGTGGGCAGCAGCTAGGTAAGGGCTCCTAGTCAGAACTCATGTGAGAATTGAGGAGGATGAGCTTAATGGTGCCCTTAGACTGGCTTGCCCTCAGCACACATTGAGGAACATGCCCTTGATTCCAGCTGCTGTCACCAGGCCTGGCTGACAAGTGGAGTATGGAGTCACATTCACCTTAGGTCAGTGCCTACCTGGTACGACCTTGGACAAGATACCTTCTGTGAACCTTAGTTTCTTCATAAGGAAAGTGAAGATAATTAATAACAGTAATAAAAGTAGGTGCTCCTCTAAATTCTTTATATGGACTAACACTTCATTCTCATACAGCTCTGGAAACTACTGTTAACCATTGTAGATGAGAAAATTGAAGCACACAGAGGATGTGGGCCTTTGACAGGTGTTTGGAGTAGGTATTGGAATCTAGGCAGTAGACTCCAGAGTCCATGCTCTAAACCTCTTTGCTGTGTTGCTTCCAGAGTAAAGGAAGGAGGAAACATTTTTATCTGGGATGTGGGAGAGAAAGTCATGAAAAATTTCAGTGAGGAAATACTTGCACTGAGCCTTGAAAGATGAGAAGTTTTGTGGAGATGGAGGTGTGGGGCATCCTGGCATCCAGGCACAGGAATCCGTGGGTACAAAGCCCTGAAGTGGTAAATCAGCTTGCTGGACTGGGGAACTACAAACAGAAGTTTTCAAGTTTTTAAAGCTACTGTTGTGGACCAGCCATGTATGCCTTTGGACCAGAGGGAAAGCAGAGTGAGAGCAAGTAAGGGCAGGAAGGAGCCATTTTCCCATGTCTAGAACAGAGCCAGCCCAAGCTGCTTGCCTTATTCACTTTCCTTGTTGCTGGAACAAATACTCAACACCCACAATTTAGAGGAGGAGAGATTTATTTTGGATCACAGTTACAGTCCATGATTGGCTGGGTCTAAGGCAGAAACAGCATGGTGGGAGGGCCCGGTAGAGGAAAAGCCGCTCATGGCATGGTGTCCAGGGAGGCAGAGAGAATGAAGGGGGGAGCCGGTAAGGGAAACACCCCCTCTCAGGTCACACCCACAGTGGGCTATGCAAGGC